CCTCCGAGCGAAGGCTGCGGTAAGCCTCCTCATTCTCTGACGTGGATTCTGTAGCCGATGACAGTGGGCCTGTCGCTTTTTCTCAACCATCCTGAACACCTCCTCTGTCAGCCAGGGTCTCTTGGGAGGTCTGGACCGCGTACCCAAAGCAGCCATTGCAGCTGCATGAGTCAAAGTCCTAAACCTTGCCCATTTATCCTCGACATCAGGAGGAGTCATGGACGATGCCAATCCCAGCCGCAAGCGATGATGAAATTCTCGCTTGCAACTTTCATCAGATAACTGAGACCAGGCCACTTTAGGTTGGAATGGGGTCCTGGGTGTACACCCACCACCGGAGTGGAAGAATGGCAGGCGTATCTTACAGATGGATAGTCGATGGTCAGAGGGCAGATCAGCTCCACGGTAGGGTCCTGGTGTCACGGACATGGGCTCGCATCCGCTGGTCCGTCACTACGTAGTCCAGCAGATGTTCTTGCTTTGACCCGGCATGCATCCATGATGTTGTGTGGATGCGCCGATGCCGGAACAGCGTGTTGGTAATTACAAGCCCATGGGCTGCACAAAAATCTAGCAGCCTCCTACCGTTGTTATTGAGCTGATCTGGCTCCGCCCAGTGGGGTTTGGCCAGGAGACGTCATAGACGCCTGGCCCCCCGGGGCCTCCGGCACAAGCTTATTAGTTACATATTTCAGTTTAACTCGTGGTTTAGTGGTAATTAATTGAAGGTGGAGAGGTTACCAGCCCCTCGCACCCGTCCAGAGCCCCCGTTTAGCCCCTGTGGTGGACACATATGCCATGAGGGGAGGAGCCACAGACACACACACACACACACAGACACACACACAGACACACACAGACACACACACACACACAGGCACCAGGTCCGTCTCTCACCTTCTTCCTAGGCCCCTCCTCCTCCGCCCCCTCCCCGTCCCCCCCAAGGAGGAGGAGGGGGTGGGGGCGGGGGGGGGCGGCCCGGCGCCCGCCCCCCCCCGCGCGGGGCCGCCCCGTGGGGCTGAGCCTCGCCGCCTTCCTCTTGCCAGATCCCACGCCGCCTCGCACACTCAGCTGGGCGGGGGCGGTGCGAGGTCGGAGGTCGGAGGGGGGGGGGGTAGAATGGGGAGGTGAGGTTACTCAACCGCTCCTCACCCGCTCACTCAATCACCGGCTCACCCATTCACTCACCCGACGGCTCACTCACTCACCCGCCCACTCATTCACTCACCCGCCTGCCCGCTCACTCACCAGCTCACCCGCCCATTCACCCGCCCCACTCACTCATTCACTCACCCGCCCGCTCACTCGCCCGCCCACTTACTCACCCGCCCACTCATTCACTCACCCACCCACTCACCCATTCACTCAGCCGCCCGCCCCCCCACCAGCTCACCCGCCCACTCACCTATTCACTCACCCGACGGCTCACTCACCCGCCCGCCCGGCCGCTCACTCACTCACCCGCTCGCCCACCCACTCACCCGCCCACTCACCCATTCACTCACCTGCCGGCTCACTCACCCGCCCGCCCGCTCACTCACCAGCTCGCCCACCCACTCGCCCAGCCACTCGCCCACCCACCCGCCCACCCACTCTCCCACCCACCCGCCCACCCACTCTCCCACCCACTCGCCCACCCACTCGCCCACCCACCCGCCCACCCACTCGCCCACCCACCCGCCCACCCACCCGCCCAGCCACTCGCCCACCCACTCGCCCACTCACTCGCCCACCCACTCGCCCACCCACCCACCAACCCTTACCTCCAGCTCCTCGCGGCTGCAGAAGCTGGCGATGGCGAACCCATCGATAATGTCCTCCTCCTCCTCCTCCGCCACCACACGCATCGCCACCTCGTCCACCACGTCGTCCACCTTCCGCATCGCCAGGTCGACCGCCACGTCGTCCACCTTCCACATCGCCAGGTCGACCGCCACGTCGTCCACCTTCCGCATAGCCAGGTCGACCGCCAAGGGCAGCTCCTCCTTCCTAACCACCTTGTCCACGCCATCTCCGTCTGCCGGTCTCCTCTCAACCTCCTCCTCCACCTCCTCCTTCACCTTCACCTGCTGTTCATGATGATGATGATGCTGCTCTTCCTTCTGATGATGATGCTGCTCTTCCTTCTGCTGATGATGCTGCTGCTCCTGCTGATGATGATGATGCTGATGATGACGCTCCTCCTTCTGATGATGACGCTCCTCCTTCTGATGATGTTGCTGCTGTTGATGAGGCTGCTGCTGCTGTTGATGCTGCTGCTGCTGATGATATTGCTGAGGCTGCTGCTGATGATGATGTTGCTGATGAGACTGCTGCTGTCGTTGCCCATGCTGCAGCTGTTGATGATGATTATGATGATACTGCTCATGATGTTGCTGATCATGATGTTGTTGCTGCTGCTGCTGCTGCTGCTGATGATGCTGCTGCTGCTGCTGTTGGCGGTGTTCACACAGAGCTCTGCCAGTCCGGCGCTCCGCCTCACCCGGTGAGCGGTGGTGAGCTGCCACTCCGCCCTCACCGTTCACCATCCCCCACTCCGCAGAGGCATCGTCACGAGCGCCGCTCACCACGGCGTCGCCGCTCACCACCTCCGCCCCATTGGACCTCACCACGGCGTCGCTCACCACGGCGTCGCCGCTCACCACCTCCGACCCATTCGACCTCACCACGGGGTCACCGCTCACCACAGCGTCGCCGCTCACCACCTCCGCCCCATTCAACCTCACCACAGCGTCGCCGCTCACCACCTCTGACCCATTCAACCTCACCACGGGGTCACCGCTCACCACAGCGTCGCCGCTCACCACCTCTGACCCATTCAACCTCACCACAGCGTCACCGCTCACCACCTCCGCCCCATTCAACCTCACCACAGTGTTGCTCACCACAGCGTCACCGCTCACCACGGCGTCGCCGCTCACCACCTCTGACCCATTCAACCTCACCACGGGGTCACCGCTCACCACAGCGTCGCCGCTCACCACCTCCGCCCCATTCAACCTCACCACAGCGTCGCCGCTCACCACGGCATCGCCGCTCACCACCTCCGCCCCATTCAACCTCACCACAGTGTTGCTCACCACAGCGTCGCCACTCGCCACGGCGTCGCCGCTCACCACCTCCGCCCCATTCAACCTCACCACGGCGTCGCCGCTCACCACCTCCGCCCCATTCGACCTCACCAGCTCTGTGCCGCTCACCGCCCCCATGGACCTCAGCGCGGCGTCGCCGCTCACGGCCAATCGAGCGATGGCGATCGTGGGCCACATCCCTGACGCCGCTTTCTCCACGGCCACCACGGCGGCCACCGTGCCGGCCGCGGTGGCCGCGGTGGCCGTGGCGGCCGCGGTGGCCGCGGTGGCCGTGGCGGCGGTGCCGGACGCTCCCCTGCTACGCCGCGCTGCCGGCGCGCGGCAAGAGCCGGCGGCTTTGCCGGCACGCGGCTGCTGCTGCTGCTGCTGCTGCGTTTGTTGTTGTTGTTGTTGCGTTTGTTGTTGTTGTTGTTGTTGCTGTTGTTGTTGTTGTTGTTGCGAAGGAGGAGTTGCCAAACCTCTCTGCTTGGCACGGGGAGGCCGGACGCGAACGCTGGGTCTGGACACGCGGGAGCGCCGATCGGCGGAGGTGGCGGATCCGGCGGCGGATCCGGCGGCGGATCCGGCGGCGGCGGCGGTGCCGGGCGCGGCGGCGGTGGCGTTGGTCTTGAGGCTCCGTCGCCTCCGGTTGCGTCCGTGGGTGGTGCCGGTCATGCCGGGAAGTGTCGGTCGAGGCTACGGAACGAGAGCCACCGCCGCCGCCGCCGCCACCACCACCGCCACCACCGCCACCACCGCCACCAACGCCACAACCACCGCCACAACCACCGCCACCACCGCCACCGCCTCCTCTTCTGTCGCTCTCTACTACCTCACTCTCTCGAGGAGGTGAGGACAGCCATGGGCAGCTGACGTTGGGTGGTAAGAGAGAGAGAGAGGGGGGAGAGTGTTAGTGCCTCATCCCTAGTCAACTAGTGACTAGGCCTGTCTCATCCCTAGTCAACTAGTGACTAGGCCTGTCTCATCACTAGTCAACTAGTGACTAGGCCTGCCTCATCCCTAGTCTACTAGTGACTAGGCCTGCCTCATCCCTAGTCAACTAGTGACTAGGCCTGTCTCATTCCTAGTCTACTAGTGACTAGGCCTGTCTCATCCCTAGTCTACTAGTGACTAGGCCTGCCTCATCCCTAGTCAACTAGTGACTAGGCCTGCCTCATTCCTAGTCTACAAGTGACTAGGCCTGTCTCATCCCTAGTAAACTAGTGACTAGGCCTGCCTCATTCCTAGTGTACTAGTGACTAGGCCTGCCTCATTCCTAGTCTACTAGTGACTAGGCCTGCCTCATTCCTAGTCTACTAGTGACTAGGCCTGTCTCATCCCTAGTAAACTAGTGACTAGGCCTGCCTCATTCCTAGTCTACTAGTGACTAGGCCTGCCTCATCCCTAGTCTACTAGTGACTAGGCCTGTCTCATTCCTAGTCAACTAGTGACTAGGCCTGCCTCATCCCTAGTCAACTAGTGACTAGGCCTGCCTCATTCCTAGTCTACTAGTGACTAGGCCTGTCTCATCCCTAGTCTACTAGTGACTAGGCCTGCCTCATCCCTAGTCAACTAGTGACTAGGCCTGCCTCATCCCTAGTCAACTAGTGACTAGGCCTGTCTCATCACTAGTCAACTAGTGACTAGGCCTGCCTCATCCCTAGTCTACTAGTGACTAGGCCTGCCTCATCCCTAGTCAACTAGTGACTAGGCCTGTCTCATTCCTAGTCTACTAGTGACTAGGCCTGTCTCATCCCTAGTCTACTAGTGACTAGGCCTGCCTCATCCCTAGTCAACTAGTGACTAGGCCTGCCTCATTCCTAGTCTACTAGTGACTAGGCCTGTCTCATCCCTAGTAAACTAGTGACTAGGCCTGCCTCATTCCTAGTCTACTAGTGACTAGGCCTGCCTCATTCCTAGTCTACTAGTGACTAGGCCTGCCTCATTCCTAGTCTACTAGTGACTAGGCCTGTCTCATCCCTAGTAAACTAGTGACTAGGCCTGCCTCATTCCTAGTCTACTAGTGACTAGGCCTGCCTCATCCCTAGTCTACTAGTGACTAGGCCTGTCTCATTCCTAGTCAACTAGTGACTAGGCCTGCCTCATCCCTAGTCAACTAGTGACTAGGCATGCCTCATTCCTAGTCTACTAGTGACTAGGCCTGTCTCATCCCTAGTCTACTAGTGACTAGGCCTGCCTCATCCCTAGTCAACTAGTGACTAGGCCTGCCTCATCCCTAGTCTACTAGTGACTAGGCATGTCTCATCACTAGTCAACGAGTGACTAGGCCTGCCTCATCCCTAGTCTACTAGTGACTAGGCCTGTCTCATTCCTAGTCTACTAGTGACTAGGCCTGTCTCATCACTAGTCAACTAGTGACTAGGCCTGCCTCATCCCTAGTCTACTAGTGACTAGGCCTGTCTCATTCCTAGTCTACTAGTGACTAGGCCTGTCTCATCACTAGTCAACTAGTGACTAGGCCTGCCTCATCCCTAGTCTACTAGTGACTAGGCCTGTCTCATTCCTAGTCTACTAGTGACTAGGCCTGCCTCATTCCTAGTCAACTAGTGACTAAGCATGCCTCATCCCTAGTCTACTAGTGACTAAGTCTGCCTCATCCCTAGTCAACTAGTGACAAGGCCAGGCTCATCCCTAGTCAACTAGTGACTAGGCCTGCCTCATTCCTAGTCTATTAGTGACTAGGCCTGCCTCATCCCTAGTCAACTAGTGACTAGGTCTGCCTCATCCCTAGTCTACTAGTGACTAGGCCTGCCTCATTCCTAGTCTACTAGTGACTAGGCCTGCCTCATCCCTAGTCAACTAGTGACTAGGCCTGCCTCATCCCTAGTCAACTAGTGACTAGGCCTGCCTCATCCCTAGTCAACTAGTGACTAGGCCTGCCTCATTCCTAGTCAACTAGTGACTAGGCCTGCCTCATCCCTAGTCTACTAGTGACTAGGCCTGTCTCATCCCTAGTCTACTAGTGACTAGGCCTGTCTCATCCCTAGTCTACTAGTGACTAGGCCTGACTCATTCCTAGTCTCCAAGTGACTAGGCATGCCTCATCCCTAGTCAACTAGTGACTAGGCCTGCCTCATCCCTAGTCTACTAGTGACTAGGCCTGCCTCATCCCTAGTCTACTAGTGACTAGGCCTGCCTCATCTCTAGTCAACTAGTGAATAGGCCTGCCTCATCCCTAGTCAACTAGTGACTAGGCCTGCCTCATCCCTAGTCTACTAGTGACTAGGCCTGCCTCATCCCTAGTCAACTAGTGACTAGGCCTGCCACATTCCTAGTCTACTAGTGACTAGGCCTGCCTCATCCCTAGTCAACTAGTGACTAAGCCTGCCTCATCCCCAGTCAACTAGTGACTAGGCCAGCCTCATCCCTAGTCAACTAGTGACTAGGCCTACCTCATTCCTAGTCTATTAGTGACTAGGCCTGCCTCATCCCTAGTCAACTAGTGACTAGGCCTGCCTCATTCCTAGTCTACTAGTGACTAGGCCTGCCTCATTCCTAGCCAACTAGTGACTAGGCCTGCCTCATTCCTAGTCTACTAGTGACTGGGCCTGTCTCATCCCTAGTCTACTAGTGACTAGGCCTGCCTCATCCCTAGTCTACTAGTGACTAGGCCTGCCTCATTCCTAGCCAACTAGTGACTAGGCCTGCCTCATTCCTAGTCTACTAGTGACTAGGCCTGCCTGGTCCCTAGTCTACTAGTGACTAGGCCTGCCTCATTCCTAGTCTACTAGTGACTAGGCCTGCCTCATCCCTAGTCAACTAGTGACTAGGCCTGCCTCATCCCTAGTCAACTAGTGACTAGGCCTGCCTCATTCCTAGTCTACTAGTGACTAGGCCTGTCTCATCCCTAGTCTACTAGTGACTAGGCCTGCCTCATCCCTAGTCTACTAGTGACTAGGCCTGCCTCATCCCTACTCAACTAGTGACTAGGCCTGCCTCATTCCTAGTCAACTAGTGACTAGGCCTGCCTCATCCCTAGTCTACTAGTGACTAGGACTGCCTCATTCCTAGTCAACTAGTGACTAGGCCTGCCTCATCCCTAATCAACTAGTGACTAGGCCTGCCTCATCCCTAATCTACTAGTGACTAGGCCTGTCTCATCCCTAGTCAACTAGTGACTAGGCCTGCCTCATTCCTAGTCAACTAGTGACTAGGCCTGCCTCATCCCTAGTCTACTAGTAACTAGGCCTGCCTCATCCCTAGTCAACTAGTGACTAGGCCTGCCTCATCCCTAGTCAACTAGTGACTAGGCCTGCCTCAATCCTAGTCAACTAGTGACTAGGCCAGCCTCATTCCTAGTCAACTAGTGACTAGGCCTGCCTCATCCCTAGTCTACTAGTGACTAGGCCTGCCTCATCTCTATTCTACTAGTGACTAGGCCTGCCTCATTCCTAGTCAACTAGTGACTAGGCCTGCCTCATTCCTAGTCAACTAGTGACTAGGCCTGCCTCATCCCTGGTCAACTAGTGACAAGGCCTGCCTCATCCCTAGTCAACTAGTGACTAGGCCTGCCTCATCCCTAGTCAACTAGTGACTAGGCCTGTCTCATCCCTAGTCTACTAGTTACTAGGCCTGCCTCATCCCTAGTCAACTAGTGACTAGGCCTGCGTCATCCCTAGTCAACTAGTGACTAGGCCTGCCTCATCCCTAGTCAACTAGTGACTAGGCCTGCGTCATCCCTAGTCAACTAGTGACTAGGCCTGCCTCATCCCTAGTCAACTAGTGACTAGGCCTGCCTCATCCCAAGTCAACTAGTGACTAGGCCTGTCTCATCCCTAGTCTACTAGTGACTAGGCCTGCCTCATCCCTAGTCAACTAGTGACTAGGCCTGCGTCATCCCTAGTCAACTAGTGACTAGGCCTGCCTCATCCCTAGTCAACTAGTGACTAGGCCTGCCTCATCCCTAGTCAACTAGTGACTAGGCCTGCCTCATCCCTAGTCTACTAGTGACTAGGCCTGTCTCATTCATAGTCTACTAGTGACTAGGCCTGCCTCATTCCTAGTCTACCAGTGACTAGGACAGGCCTCATCACTAGTCTACTAGTGACTAGGCCTGCCTCATCCCTAGTTAACTAGTGACTAGAACTGCCTCATCCCTAGTCTACTAGTGACTAAGCCTGCCTCATTCCTAGTCTACTAGTGACTAGGCCTGTCTCATTCCTAGTCTACTAGTGACTAGGCCTGCCTCATTCCTAGTCTACTAGTGACTAGGCCTGCCTCATCCCTAGTCTAGCAGTGACTAGGCCTGCCTCATCACAAGTCAACTAGTGACTAGGCCTGCCTCATCACAAGTCAACTAGTGACTAGGCATGCCTCATTCCTAGTCAACTAGTGACTAGGCCAGCCTCATCCCTAGTCAACTAGTGACTAGGCTTGCCTCATCCCTAGTCAACTAGTGACTAGGCCTGCCTCATCCCTAGTCTACTAGTGACTAGGCCTGCCTCATCCCTAGTCAACTAGTGACTAGGCCTGCCTCATCCCTAGTCAACTAGTGACTAGGCCTGCCTCATTCCTAGTCAACTAGTGACTAGGCCTGTCTCATCCCTAGTCAACTAGTGACTAGGCCTGCCTCATCCCTAGTCTACTAGTGACTAGGCCTGCCTTATTCCTAGTCAACTAGTGACTAGGCCTGCCTCATCCCTAGTCTACTAGTGACTAGGCCTGCTTCATGCCTAGTCTACTAGTGACTAGGCCTGCCTCATTCCTAGTCCACTAGTGACTAGGCCTGCCTCATTCCTAGTCCACTAGTGACTAGGCCTGCCTCATTCCTAGTCTACTAGTGACTAGGCCTGCCTCATTCCTAGTCTAGTAGTGACTAGGCCTGCCTCATCACTAGTCAACTAGTGAC